TTTTTTAAGTTGTTTATTTTTATTTCTTTTAGAATTCGTTATTTTCTTAGCGAAATGTTTTTTAACCTAACAGAATTCTTTGCCGACTGATATATGAAGAAAATAATGTAAATATTTAAGTGTTGTGAAAAGAATCTTATTTACTTCAGCCAAAATTTAGGAGCCACGTAAGAGAATTATATATATTAGATCAGAAACACATCATTAAAAGGCGGAATGTTTTGATGTTTTCAAAACGTAAACAAAACAAAGCAAACGTTGCCACCGGCGGAAAAGAAATACAGCCAAAATTTGGGAGCCACGTAAGAGAATTATATATAATAGATTTTAGCGTGATAAGTTAGGGGGAAAATATCCGATCTAAGTCTAACAAAAGGAAGAAAGAGAGATAAATAAGGAAAATTCTATTTAAAAATTTATCACGTTATCAGAATAAATTGTTCACTAAGCATCGAAAATTCTTTACATTGTATTACATTGCAACAATTAAAAAAGCTGTACAAATGAAAAAATGGAAACAAGTCTTTGTTTCCATACTAGGAAAATGGGGACCATTTATTTACGTTACTTCTGTTAACCGTATTATTTGTTAGGATAATTGAACAAAAGAAATATTGCCTTCAACTTAATTTCAAGCAGTATGATTGCAACGCACGAAATACTTAATTGCGTTTACTATTTAATAGGGCTGTCATTTCAACGGATACCTTATCTTACTGATACAGAAATCAAAGACCAAAACTCCTGTAAAATGTTTTCTGTCAAGGAAATATTAATAATTTTTTCTTGCTTTGCATTTGGGATAACGCAAGAATATCTTCAGCCATGTTGGATTTGGGCCTTATGTGAAGCAGGTACTTTATTTGCTTATACTTTACATTACGTTCAACCAAAAAAAACAATTATTCCTTTGATGAAATTGTCAACACTTGAGAATTTTCCCCAGTCATACTTAAATGTGGTGAATTGAATGTTGTCTAAAAAATGCAAAATTACACGACATTCTAAAAAAGATTCTGAATTTTAATCAAAAACTTAAAAATACCTAGAAAATTAAATGTCGTTTATAAATTTTTCTCACTCAATTGTAGAAACGTTAATAACACAACAACGATTTTAATTTTTTTAAGATTGCTATAAATTATGCGAAATTAAATAAATGTTGGTCGAGAAGCATCATATAAGTCTGAATAAAAATCAGAATTTAATTTGTTGTCAAATTCAAAGAGTAAATTCTTAGCAAAGTAATTTTTTCATCTTAGTTTAATTTGACATTTTCTTAAAGTATGTTATGATTTTTTTCCCTGGTTTTACGTAAAATAATTAAATTTTTTTATCTGTTTAAATTGGTTTGCGAGTGCAGATGTTGTTGTATCTTAGATTGTTTCATGTTTATAACTTTTGCATAAGTTCAGGGTCTGACATCTGTGATTTATTAAAAGGGTCTTTTCCCGATCTGAAATTATTTCCAGTTCTTAAAAATTTGTTCAACATTATGAGTTTAAGTCAAGAATAGAGTACAACTGTAACATCATGCTGCGCAGTAAGGAGCAGCAAAGAGGTAAATTCATCACAGTTATAAAGATGGTTGCCAAAAGTGACAACTAAATGTATGTTACTTGAAAAGATTTTGATTAACTATACTTCATTAAAAATAAATTAATTTCAATTATGATTCTAAATTTATAAAAAGAAACACGAAATATTTAAAATATATTAGTTCGTTCCTCTATCTCTCTTATACCTCGTTCGTTTAACGTAGTTTTGAGATGTCTCACTTGTTCATATACATTGCTTAACTTAAGTACATGATATCACTTACTTTCTTATTCTCAATAGTTTATCTTATTCTACTCTGTTTGTCTAAAAGCTGTCTAACCGGAACTTTAATCTTCTCTGCTGAGAAGTCTCTACACGAAAGTTTAACATGAATTATTTTACATTGAGGTTAGGTACATCATATTAACTTGAATAGTTTGAGATTGATTTTGTAGCAATCTTAGCAGTTTCTACTATAAAGTCTAATAAAATCAATGTAAAGAGTTGCTTAACATTTATCTTAGGCATATAATATTAACATGAATAATTTCAGGTGTGGGTCATTCTCACTGAAAAGGTATAAACAGACTAAAAAATTTTCTTAAATTAAAGTAGTTAAAAAAGTGATAAAAATTACATAAATGCCTTTATTTATCTTTGTTATAAGCCCTTATAATAATTGTCAAGTTTTCTATTTTATTTTTTACACGATTTAAAATATTTTAAATTCTGCCTTGTCCACGGAGGAGATGTAATAGTCGACGGAGGAGACATTTTATGTTATAACATGTCAATGAAGATTAATTCATTAAATATTGGGTACAACTGATATGAGTTTAACATTAATAGGTAAATAATGAAATATTTAATTTATTCGAGATAGATACTTCTGAATAATTTTGCTGCTATGAAAGGAAACATCCATTTTTAACCTAGGTGTACAATTTTTTAAGTAACTCTTACTGAATATTAATAAACTAAAATGTAAAGACTATTGAAATAAAAATTTAGACTCCACATGAAAGTTGAGTGTTAAGGGTACTCTTATATGAACATTTTATGCAAGTTAAACATACTGTCATCCAAATAACGTTTTTGTTCTTTCTCTTTTCTTCTTGTTATTGCTTCTTTTTTCCCTGGGCACAAACGGCTTGCTCTATCAATTTCTAGAAATTTAAGTACATTTAATCACGATTTTTCTGTTGAATCTTTTTCTTATACAATTTTAGCTCTGATACAAGTTTCTTGCTCTTTTTTTTTACTTTCTTTAAGCAATATAGGGTTTTCTTTTAATATATGTTTAGCTTGTCTCATACTAAGTTCTTTCTGTTCCCTTCTCTTTTGCATTTGAACATTTGATTGCTTTCTTTTTTGCCGTTTTGGTTTTGCCCTTTTTTTCCTAAACTTTGAAGAGAAAAAAAATTTTAAACATCACAGAAATTATTTAGAAAAATTGCCAATATTTACTTCTCCAAAAAGAAAAAGTTTAACTTAATTGATTTCCTTTAAAAATACAAACAAATTAACACATTTGTTCCAGTTTAAAAAATATCAATTAAAATAATATAGTTTTTTAATTATTCAAATTGAATAATAGTTATCTAACACATTGTCTCTTCCATTGACTGTGTCTTCTCCACCGTGGACTTGTTATGTCCACGGAGGAGACAAAAACTAGTTCTTGAATTTTACTGATTTTTAATTTTAAAGTTACATAAATGGGGCAGATCTTTATATTAAATATACTATTTTTGCAATCTAAAATTCATCTATCAAAAATAAAATAATTTTCTCTTACCTTCTTTATGATGTCCACGGAGTATACGGTGAGAACTTTGCCAAACCCCAGTTGAGCACAACAATCCAAAACTGACACAACTGATAGTAACTGATACAAAAACAACTGATAGTAAATATTAGAAAATGGAATGTTTCCTTTCCCAGCAGCTGTCTTATATGGATTTCGCATATGCTACCCTTTATTGCATATTTACCGAACTATATTAATTGTCCATGGAGGGAGATTTCATTTTTGATGGACAAAGTTTACTAGTCATTTATTTTATATAAAAAAATATATTTTTTAAATATTAAATAAAAAGTTAATATAAACATTTAACTAGGTAAAACTACAAAAATCATTAAAATAACATTTAAATAGCTTAACAGCCATTTAAAATTATTTTGTGTCACAGACGTAGGGACGTCCACGGAGGGGATTTTGAAGCTATGTTTATTGAAAATTAAGAATGAAGTATTAAATACATTTAGCAGTAATGCAAATGATTTGTTAGTTAGAGCTTTACGAAAAATGATGAAGAAAAATATTAAGATATCTGCTGTATTTCCTAATATTTATTACTAAGGGACTTAAAAAATCTCCTTTTTGTGAGAATGACTCATGGATTCTTTAGCAGTCTTAGCAGTTTCCACTTGAAAGTCTATCATGAATTATTTAACATTGTGGTAAGGTACATAATATTGCCATGAATAGTCTGAGATTGATTCTGCCGCAATCTTAGCAGTTTCTACTATAAAGACTAATATGAGTTGCTTAACATTGATCTTAGGCATATAATATTAACATGAACAGTTTCAGAATGATTCTTTAGCAGACATAGCAGTTTCTACACGAAAGTCTAACATAAATTATTTAGCATTGAGGTTAGGCACATAAGATTAGCATGAATAGTTTCAGATAGATTCTGCAGCAGTCTTAGCTTCTACTAAAAAATTTGACATGAGTCGTTTAACATGAATCACTTAATGATCTTAACATGAATGATCTCAGGCTTGTATTATTAGCATGAATAGTTTCAGATTGATTTATCTTATTGTTGTCAGCAAGTAACGAAACATTTTATTGTAATAGGCAATAAATTCAATGTGCGAAGCCCAAAAGTTTATAGATTAAAAATATTAAGTTTTGGATGAGGTACAAGATATGCTACTTCACTTTAAGAAAATAGTTCCATGTAACAAATGAAAATCCCGACCGTACTGGCATTTCATTATAAAATATCCAGAACTTTTATTTCAAGAGTCAAATGTGCTTTATCATGTTGAAATATAACTCAACGTGAAGAATTTTATAAGTCAACTTCATAAAAATTTCCTCTGATTTGGAATTATTAAGTAGAAGCAATAAATGTTATGCTTCTAACGAGGAAATTCCCTGAGGTTCTCAAGTATTAAGAGGGCACCATACCACGGGAGAAAAATATTCCTCGTAAATTCTCTTTCACCCCCATAACTTATTTAAACTTCAGAGTATAGAATAAGTGAGTTCAGACAAACCTAGAGTAAGCCGTGAAGTTTCAAATACTGAAAAGAAATTTTTAAATTATCAAAATGGAGATAAATTATAAGAAGGTAGCTAAGGATTTCGGAATGGAGAAGTTCTCTTCCAATAATCGATTTGCATTTTGATATTTCGAATTTTTATTTAAATAATTGAAACTTCATTGCTTACTCTAAGTTTGCTCTCTCTCTCTCTCGTGGTATGGTGTCCTCGTAGGGACTGTTTCGTTCATCTTTAATCGAAATGAACCCATATGCTCGGTAATTATCAAATGTGGTTTTTTTTGTTCTTTTCTTAATCCCTGTACACTTCTCTAAACACCGTACAAGTATCTAAGTAGAGCCGAGATAGCCTGATTGGTAGAACGCTGGGCTGATGTTCATCAGAACGGAAGTTCGAATCCCATCAACCGAAGAAGTCCCGTGTATTAAATTATAAGTGGTGCACATTGAATCTATCGGGGTCACAAAGTCATCCTAGCCCCCATAACAAATCAATACCACTGGGGGGTACTGAATTCGAAATTGATAGTTCTCTGGTTTAGATGGAAATTACAATTTGTGAATGAATGAATGGAGTATGATTGGGTCATTCCTGTAAACGTCCTGCGACGTGTGAGTGGATGAATTCGTATTCGAATGGAATATTTTGTTCGCCAACGATAGCGCCACTGAAAAACACAAGAAACGCACCCACTGCTTCAAAAATTTGCTAGATTTCAAGTAGGCTTACTGATTGGCAAGTGTCGTTAGTAACAACAAGTATCTAAGTCTTATAGTTGCTGCTCAGTAAAACAAAATGTGACATTAAGTTAAACACCGAAACGCATCAAAAACATAACAGTCTTACGAGTTTTTTATATAGAGAAATATATTGTTCAATTGTTATTTCTTTTCAGTTAAAATTATTTTTTTACCCTATCCTTTATTACATTGTTACAACCCTTTTTCTTGGGGCATCTAATTGAGGATTTCGCCTAGAACTCCCACAAACCTCCTGCATGCCACAGAATAGACTATACTTTTATAATTTTTGATACAATTTTTCAAAAGTTACAAAGTTACGTAAGATCTTAAATAATCATCCTGTTAAATGCTTTTGCAAAGTAATTCATACACTCTCTTATGGAAAATATTTGTAGAATAAAAAACTTTTTAAATTTTAAAAACTCTTTAATAGATGTTGAATTCCGAGAACAAGTACTCAACTGCTATGTTCCTGTATTCACGGAAAAAGTAAGTTCCTTAATTATTTTATTTATTTAAATTTAGGCTTAAAACAATTCAAATAAAAGACTCACAAGCAATATAATTCCGTTCGTTTAATCATTGCAATTTACCCTATAAATGACCAAATTGTCTCTTTTTTTTATGCTGTTCTGTTCATGAATATTAAATGACATGAAATCAATATAAATATAATTTTTAATTTTGTTTAAAAGGGTTAAAAATATCCATGAAATGTATGCAGAGTATAGAAGATACAGTGATAATCAATCATTACAGAAGTTACAAACTTGAAGTAGAAATAAGTATTGGGCTCATCATAATGTTTGCATAATATTTGGGACATTATGCACAGCAGCTCAAAGCCGGAAACTTCATCGTACGCCCCAAATCACCCTCCCTAATATGAACTAGCTGTTGGTGCAAGTTTGAGGCAATACTTTTACTTATCTAAATTAGCAAAATTTTGTGTTAAATTTACGCTTTCTTGCCAAGCTCGACGCGTCTGTCTCTCTAGAGCAGTGTTTCCCAAACTTATGACTTCAGTGTACCCTTTCTAAATTTTTCGTAACGCTGTGTACCACTCATAAAAAATGAATATATTTTTTTAAAAAATATCTTTATTTTTACTATAAAAAAATTACACCAAAGTTAAAAATCACAACTCGTTGTTGACACCACTAATTATTAACTGTTAACTCTGCAAAAAATAGCCAATAGAAAAATACGTCATCGTAAATTTTCATGGCTAGCTTTGTTTTTAAGTAAACATTTTTGAAATTTTCGTTTGCTGCAAGAGAACGCGTACCCCGGTTGAACCGTTCCCGTACCCCTGGGGGTACGCGTACCACACTTTGGGAAACACTGCTCTAGAGCATTAAAGGATGATACAGCATCCATCTTCAAGTTCATTTGCATGCAATTTTGGACCATAAGGTTAGTGTGCTTTAATGTGGCATGAGTTTGTCCCATTTAGGTCAAACTTGATATTTGTTTGGATATATTCACTAAAACTAGATGAAATATTACGAATTTAGTTCTAAACAAATTTTTATTGCTGAAATTGACTTTTTATCTGTAACCTAAGCAAAGATATGTCACTGTGACATTTAGCCCATTGCTTTATTGGATATATTTACTAAAACTAGATGAAGTATTACGACTACAGTTCTAAACAAGTTTTTCCTGTTGAAATTGAATTATTATCTGTAACCTAAGCAAAGATTTGTCACTGTGACATGTAGGGCGTTTTCGTCGCATTTATGGTAACAAGCCATTAAATGCGGCACTCACGGTACCTGAATGAGACAGTGCATTTTTACAACGTTTTTAGTTACTTGCATTTGCGTCTGTAGCAGTAAAATCTTACTATCGAAATTTCGATTCATACAAATTCAAAGTGCTTCAGGATGAATGCATGCAGCATTTATCGTCAGTTTATCACAGAATGGAGTTTATCGTCGATCAAGATTCCAATCATTTTAAATATATCTAGAATACTTAAAATACAACTGGAGCTCTTGTTTGGATGACTATTCAAGTTTTCCTTGTTTTTTTGGAAATATCACGATATTATCGTTGATAGGCATTTATCGTCAATCAGAACAATAACAGCTATAAAATTAAAACTTTATAATTCCGTGTGGGGTACGAATAAAAATTTTAATGATTTCCTTATCACTAAAAACAAAATTTATTGTCATTTTATCACAAAATTGAGTATATCATCTGTCAAAATTCCGAACATTTTAAGACTAGCTAGAGTACTCTACACTGGGGGACTTTGAATGTTCCCTTTTTTATTTTGAGTGATACGCGCAGAATTTATCACTATATTATTGTAGATATGAATTTACCATCAACCACACCTTCGACCACTCTGGAATTACAACTTTAAAATGTTAATTGAAACTGTGTCTTGGATGATATTACAAGTTTTAATCGTTTTCTTATCGGGGAAAAACAGAAATTTTTTGACATATTATTTGGATAATATATAGTCAAGTGAAATTCCAACCAATTTTTTTAATTTCTTATTTATAACTCTAACGCGAATTAAAATTGTCACTGCACCTCCAAGCTTGACATAAATGTAAGTTTCAAATATTTCTTAACAGTAACATCANATTATTTGGATAATATATAGTCAAGTGAAATTCCAACCAATTTTTTTAATTTCTTATTTATAACTCTAACGCGAATTAAAATTTTCACTGCACCTCTAAGCTTGACATAAATGTAAGTTTCAAATATACAAATATTGAAAGACATAAATACCTATATGTTATTTATTCTCACAGTGCATGCAAACTCGGTGGTCTGACATAAGTGTTAAGTACTAACACACACATTACATATATACATTACTCCTAAGCACATGTATTTATATTTTTGTCTTGTAGTACTGGAATTCACGCTGTAATTGAATATTTTAGTTACTTGTAGTCATGACTATTTGCAATTGTTAGGTTATAATAGCTAATCTTAATTTTTTGTCATCATATATTTTGATAGCGAGCAATCATGATTACATGTAATTATTATAACTTATTATCACATCTTCTGATTGATTGCAATCAATGATAACATGTTATCGTATATATTTATCTAATGTAACCGTGATTAGCCATAATCGTTTCGTGTTCTGACTACATTTAATCACTCCTTTTAATCGTAGATAATGATTACTTGCAATCGTAATTACTTGCAAATGCGATTGCAATATTGATTACAAAGTAGTACGTATATGTAAACAATTAAAGATGACACTGATTGCTGTAATCCACACCTAACTCTAGAAAGGTTGCAAAAATATATTGTCGCATTTAAGAACTTCAAACAGTCGGGATTAGGGTCAAAGGTTGTAAATTGGACAGTCATTTTACAAGCCCTCTAAATTTAATGGAAGTGTTCTTTTTCCATATTTTCTTAAAATAGATTAAAAAGATGGTAAAGTAGCGCTGCGCGCAAAGTCATAAGATTTGTGACCTCTATTCGGGGTCAGTGACCACTATTCTGGGGACAAACGTCTCATTTAGCTCATGAAATTAAGTGATGAAGTTCAACAAGAAATTACTCATTAAAAATGATTTAAATGTAGGGAAATGAATTCTCCAAAAATGCAAAATTTTCATTCTATCGTATTTACGAATGAACCTTCAACTAAGATTTATAGTGACTGAAAATACTCACATTCAGGCAACGTTAAAAAAAATTACAATTCAAATAAAATTAAAGAAATTTCAAGCATCCGTTTGAATACAAACAAACATCCAGCACATGATAAGGAGGTGACTTTATTGGCTAACGATATTTCTCATCATGAGTCACCATGCGAATCACAATCCTTGTGGTACCTTCCCCCATACTCCAAGTTTGCAAACGCCGTGTTAAATAACTCTATACGATGCTATGAAAAATTCCAGAAAATGGAAAATCTAAACATGCGTAATATTTCGAGTAGTAAAAAAGTACGTATTAATGATAACTAGAAATTAAATTCCAGATGTAAATTGAAATATAAAAGAAGCGGCAATAGTTCTAACCTGTAAAAATATTTTTATTTTTTAATTGATTTGAATGCAAAATTTATTAAACCTATGGTTTAAGAATTTTACATATTTCATCATCTTATGGAGGATAAGAAGTCTTATAAATAATTTATTCCTATTCTGTTTGGTTATGAAGCATTTAAGAGAACAGTTTACTAATATTTATGTGATAACTGCTTTCGGTTGAAATAGACATATTGAACAAACTCCAAAATAAAATTTTATAACTTTTATTACAAAATAGGAAAACACAAAATTAACGAAAGATCTTAGGCACACAACCTTCAGGGCTAAAGAGAATCGAAGGACTAGTTCATTCCGCTCCTAGAGCTGAAGCTACGATTTCTCTTCTCATGATGTCAATGTATACACAGATCTCTGAGATCGCTAGCAGGGATATTATAACTTTGCATTTTTCTCTCTGTAAAACTAAGTTAGACTTTTTCTGGTTATTAGATTTCAAACTTTACATAATTAACACATTATTTCCGTTCATAAACAGAGTTCAAAGAAACTTTCTTGGCCATTATATTAAAAAAATACCATTTTAAACTTATAAAAATATTTTACTAGTTGGCGAAAATGACACTAAATACTTTATTTTAAAAAGTTCAGTTTTAACTTTGATTATTAAGAAAAGCATAAATCGACCCTTTTTTATCTACTTAATCTTTGATAACTATAAGTTGGGTTAAATTTAGAATCCCGATTTTAAAATATGACATTAATAGCAATTTGTTCATTCTTAAACATTAGGAAACATCAACCTTAAACGCTAATTACTGAAACAAAATAATAATTTAGGTTCATAATGATGTTTGAAATTTTACAATTGCTTATAGATATTTAAATTTAAGATAATATAGTTTATAGATATTTAATTTTAAGAGAATATAATATAAAAAAATCATAAATATTTAGAATTACTACATTAAAAAATATGCTATGAAATTAGGAGAATTTTAACTATATACTATATAGTTTATTTAAACTTTTTATTTACGCTTTAATTTTCCTTGACTTTATTCATTTTTAATTTTTTCGCCTGCCTTTCTTTTTGAAGTAATGAAGCGGTTTCCACTTAGAAGGTGAAATTTTATAAAAGATTTTAGCGATAGAATAAACGTATTGCTGTTTTATATTAACTGTCATTTCGTTCGCAATTCGTTGAATCAAAACTTTACATAGTTGTTCATTTACTTTAGGGAACACGTGGAAAATTATATTTTTTCTTTTTGTGTTTATATCATAATTTTTGCAAGTTGTATCGCTCAAACTGGCATTTTATTAATAGTTAAAATTTTTGTAAATTCACTGCAATAAACTGAGGAAAATCATTTTATGAAACAACAAATGTCTTGGAATATGTCACAGAAAGGAATGCTCCAATATTAGTTAGAGCTAGTTAGACCGAACGCTTCGTTCTTGAAGTAAAAGTGCAAGCTTCGAGCCACAGTGACGTCACTAAAGAAAATCGGAGGTTTGGTGCGGCAAGAGTTTCTTCAAAGGAGTGAACCAGCCCTTCTATTCTCTTTTGCCCTGGCCAACCTTACTCGTTGCTGGTCGGAACAAGACTAACTCATTTTAGGAAGGAGGCAACTCTAAAAAAGCAATGCAAGAGCAGCGCCATATCTGAATTAACACAAATAATAGACAAAATGATAAATTCTGATAACACAATTTATAATTGTGGGCAGTAATTACAGAGAAACTGACGGATAGAATTTTTCTGAAAATATGAATTTGAAAATGTATTATCTATATATATATATTTCTCTTACACGGCGANTAAGATAAGTTCGTTGAAGAATCTACTAAACGGCGATTTTTAAGATCAACAAGCAAAGAAAATTTTTGCAAGAAGTCAGCGCCAATAATTGGACTTGAAACGGAGGCGATAATGAATGGCCACTGCAATTTGCGGCGCAATCCTAAGTCAACAGATATCAGGCGTTCACCAAAAGTTTGTATAGGAGTTCCATTTGCTGCGTAAAGTTGTAATTTGGTTTGGCGCTTTGCTCATGAAAATGTGGTGGAACGACAGAAACATCAGCCCCGGTGTCTACAAGAAATTTTAAACCGGAATTCTTATCGATGACAAAAAGGCGTGCAATATTTCGGCCGCTGTCGTTCACGACTTTTAGCGACGGCCCATCTCGTTTCCCTGGTTGTTATAACGACACGGTTGGCGGCATTTGTTTGCCTTTTCTCCAAAATTGTGATGGTAAAAGCAAATACCCGGAGGAGGGCTTTCATAACGTTTCCTCGATGGGCTACGACGTGCATATCGACCACGTGATGGAGAGCGATGGCGCCGAAAAGTTTCAGCTTGAATGGCAACTAATTGAGAGACCTGTTTGGACAATTCATTAATTTGAGCCTGTAACACCTCAATACCTTGATCAGAAGTCTGAACTGCATGTATTTGCATTGGCATGACCAGCTCGTGTATTTTATCAGCGATTTCGGGCAGTTTCGTAAGAGGCTCACTACTGGCAGCTAAAATGGCTTGCATGTTTGATGGGAGTCTATTCATCCATAATGTTTTAAGAATATTGTCCGTTAAGTTGCCGGCGGATAAGTCTGACATTTTAGACAACAATTGAGAAGGCCTCATATCACCCAGCTATAAATCTTGCAATAGTTGCTTGGTTTTAACTGTTTCGGATTCTGAATAAACAGAAATTAATTTTTCTTTTAAAGATTTGTATTTTTCCATCGCCGGTGGACTAATGATAATTTCACGAACTGATTGAAGTACTTCTGATTCTAAAGCGGAGATCGCTGTATAAAATTGAGTTTCGTCAGCAGTAATGTGACTCAATTTAAATTGCGCATCCAGTTGAATGAACCATAGCGATGGGTCTTGGCGACAAAATGACGGAGGCTTAACTGCAACTCGCGCCAATTGTGAAGAAGCATTGTTGTCAACCATTTTAGATCAGTCAAATATACTCAATAACAAAGAAAAATAATCAATATACGTATATAGCGACACAGCTTCTTGGTACTTTAAATCAGAGAAATTGGCGACTCAAATTCTACACACTATACATAGATCCGATAAAATTCTGACAGAAATATGTTGACTTACCAGAAAGTGGCAAAACACTTTAAATCAAAGGTAAAATGTCTTACTTGAATTTCATCACACTTGACAACTTATTGTTGCTCAGGCTTTTGCATATAAACTCCATATTCGTACAACATTGCAGGTTGTGATTCGTAATAAATCCGAGGTCACCAGTTTGTGGAGGAAATAAGTAGACTCGCTTCTTATTATAAAATATAATATATTAACAGCTTTGAATGATAACAATAACGTACATATTAAAAACAGGAGAATTATATAGCAGCAGCAGAAAGAAAACATTAGTATTCTTTTTATTTGTGTTCCTCGTTGCTATGGGATACGAGACTGGCAGCGTTGAGTTGTAGTAGGCAGGTCACCACAATTGGCTCAATGACGGAACAATGTAGCTACTGTAATGCTTACTTCTGGGCCAAAGAAAGAAATTCTTCTGGCAAATATACGAAATGCTGCCACGATGGAAAAATTAATTTGCCTACACTAATGGACATTCCCGAGTTGCTGCAAAAATTATTAAGTGATAATTCGATTGAGGCACGAAATTATCGAAATCATATCCGGGAATATAATTCTGCTCTTGCTTTTGCATCATTTGGAGCACACATAAAGCCACCTCCTGGAAATGGACCGTATTGTTTTCGGATTCATGGTCAAATTTATCATATGGTGTCACCTTTGTATAGCAATGATCAAAATAATGCTGGATACGGGCAGCTGTATATTTTTGATTCAACTGAAGCTACCAACAGACGCATTGAAAACAATACTGGATGTTTACGCTCTGTAATGGAATGGTAAAATGTTATGTACTTTATCACAAATGTTAATTAATATAGAAATTGATTTCAATAATGCTGATCACCAAAAAATATTTCATTTGGCGATAAAACAAATTTTTGTGTTCTTGAAAATGAAAGACTTTTTGAGGGTTATTATCTCACAAGGAAAAGTTAGGGTTTAAAGTTTATATTTTTAAATAATAAAATTTTTTTCTAAAACTTTCAGAATTTCTAGCATTAACTAATTTATTATACACATTTAGTTGAATTTAGGTGAGTAACTGCAATATTTGATAATTTATTTTGCTAATATGTTTCTCATTTAGCTAATGTTTTGATTTTTTCACCATGTACAATCTAAATAGCTAATATACTTTTTTAAAAGCCAATAAGAACATTGGTAGAATTCTTCTACATAAGTACAATACTATGTCTTTGATGATAAAATACTATGTCTTTGATGATAATATATTATGTCTTTGTGCTAGAACATTGTGTTCATTGGCGAGCGAGCGCAGCGAGCCATGGTTCACGGCGTGAACCACATAGGATTGCGTAGCAATTCTCGGGGGCTGGCGAGCGTTAGAGAGCAGGGGGCGGAGCCTCCTAGTATATGTTTAATATCCTTGATATATAACTACAAATATGTTATCAATATAAATTCACTGTACTTTGTATTTAAATTAAAAATTTACTCTGAATATTTAAATCGAACTGAAAAAATGTAAAGAACAGAAATTGACATTTTACTGAGATTTTAATCATAATATTTCAGATATATAATAAATTTATTATGATTAAAATGTGCAACTGGATGGTTTTAACACTTTAAAATAATTGTCATGCGAAGAATTGATTAAATAAATGCAAGGAACACGAACGTTACACTTTCAGGAGAACCTTTTATTAACCACAATCTCATCAAATTTATTTTCAGGACGTAAGTGAAGTTGCCCGAAGAATTGTAATATATAAAATTCAATCAACAAACATGACTGATGGGGCTAAAGAATTTTGCGACTTAGACACAGAACTTCGGGTAAGTAGAATTATAAACAAAATATTAAGACATATATATAGCTTCACAGTTTGAAACTTCACAAAATTTAACAAAAATGTGTCAAAATAGCTCAGAAACATATAATAGTCGAATTCGAAAGTTCCATTCATTCAAAATTGAAACATGCCTGAGAAAAATGCATAGTCTTAAAAAAAATGTGAAAAGAGAAATGAATGGTGTTTGTTGACTGACGGCATTACTTGAACCAAGTACATACAAGTTCGTACTAGGATGATCTATGCACCAGAGTTATACACCTAGTCAATGGAGTATTAGTGAGATTTATATAGACACATCATAGCATGCAAATTTCTGATTTTGACAGTACAAAGGGTTGCAATTTTGAAAATCTAATCCCGACAGCTTTCAGGAGATCGGTGATTATAATTTTATGTTTTGTTTTTCTCGCTATAACTTATAAACTTTTCACTGAATGGAATGTATCTCATTTGGTGTCATTGCTATACAAAGCTTCTTAATACTCACTGGGACGGAGTTTACACCCATGGTGCATCCTGCTGACTATTCGGAAATCTTTTTCTCAATTTATGCGGACAGCTGACAAGCCTCTCTTCCTCCACATAATATGCTGTTTCAATTTTGAGCGCATCAGGTTATCAGTTTCGACTACAGCTATTTTGACACATCTTTGCTTAATTTTAAGAAACTCCTTTTTTACACTGCAAAATATAAAATACTGTGATCGGGTGCATTACAGTAGAAGTGTAGCGGCTTATCGACAAACCAGCATACAATGGTGCTTCTTTTCATATGTTAATTTGCCTCCGTAAAGACGCAAAATTATTTCACAAAATATTTGCCATAACAATATAAAGATACATTATGCTTAAATGAAGAATTTAATGCAAAACAATCTAGTACTCAGTCGAAATTGAACATGAAAACATGAAAAATTGTTAAATGACAAAATTGGAGAACTTTTTTGTCATTTTTATAGTTATTCCACAAAAAATTTACCTTTTCTCGATAAAAAAATTCATATTGTATATAAAAATATAATTTATAACAGTAGTATATGAACGACGATTCATGCGCTAGAATTTGTGCCAGGGTTGGCCTTTATATACTACTTGAAACTAACAAACACTTTTGTTACATAAAGAGGAAAACCACCGAAGCCTTCCATGGTTAACCCGACGGCAAGGAAACTCAATGCTAGTCCAGTTCGTCGAGTATATCGAATCCAGTTTAAGTCACTCGTTGAGGATTTGATCGCGCAAATCCACCAAATTGCGAGGATGCTGATTTTGGCGTTTTATTCGTTGTTCCAACATGACCCACAAATTTTCAATAGGGTTCAAGTCAGGTGATTTTGAAGGCCAGTCGAGATGTAATTGAGTGTCTGAGTGTTTATAAAACCAATCATATTTTACTCCAGACTGATGAACTTTGCTGTTGTCATTTTGAAAAATAGGGGTATCGACAGCATACTCTTCACGAAGATATTGTCTGGAAGGCTATACTTGATCATCCAGAATGTTCAAATAAGCATATTGGTTCATTTTTGTGGCCACTTCAGTGATTGACCCAATCCATAATAAGAAAAACAGACCCAAAGCTTGACAGACCCACCTCCGAGTAGAACCTGACCTTGCACACAGTCAGTATAAAATGCTTCATCTGTTCCTCTGTGCACTCGATTACGTGCGTCATTTTAATAAAGGCAAAAACGTGATTTTTCAGATCATATTTTATTACGCTAGTCAGCAGCAGTCCACGATCGGTGACTTCTAGCCCACTGAAGTCGCACAGCTTTATGTGCTTGAGTTCAGCAACTTCATTCACCGCATGACCATAGGCACGGCTAAACACAATTGCCCCTTTTTGCAACACTCACTGTCACATCCTTACACTTACCCATATTTACACACAATTTCCGCTAAAAACAAAAATATCTCACTAATGGCTTCTTACCTTTGATCACACTGAGTCAGTGCGCACACAGTTGAGCACGTCACTTGACCACTACGTCATCTTACGAAACCTAACGATTAGTCGGTGTTTGCTCACTAAGGTGACTAATTTTTTGTCAGGTAAGCTTACTGTGACAATGCAGTGGTACAAGGACGAGATACTTGCAGCCTATGTGAGATTTTTCCATTTGGCATATGAGTCAAATTTCATATTTATAGATTATAACGCCCATAAACAGAGAGCTCAGTCAACGGACGAATACCTCCAATCGGAGAATGATCAGCTATTGGAGTGGCCTGTAATGTCCCCTGACCTTAATCACATCAAACACGAATGGGACACCCTTGGAAGCTCAATTGCAGTTCGAAGACCTTCTCCAGCAACCCTGGATGAGCTCGAGGTTGCTTGGTGCAAGAGTGAAGGCTGTTGTAACAATGATTGATAAAAAAACAGCGTTAAACAGTATGAAACGCAGATGCGAGAGTTATGTATCTGTTAAAGGAGATGATACATCCTATTAGACATGTTTTTCTCTGGTTGAAAGAGTGTCGGTCAGGTGCTGTGCTAGACAAGTGACCAATTTTCTTATTTAGGGTGCAAGTTGCGCCCCTTTTTGTTTTCCCATGTATTAGTCTAATAAATTATGATATCTGACCCAGTTCGGTTTTATTTGCTTTGGTAATTTTTTTTATTGCAAAAAAAACATTTGACCCTTTAATTGTTCTCACCAGTGTATGTTCATTAAAAAAAGGAACTTAGGGGACATGCAAAGTTTATGCGTCTTGCAAATTGATTCTGATTTTTGGGCAGGTGGACATATAGATCTCATCATACTAAGGATTTTCTGGAATGTGAAAATATTGAACGTAGAGATATGTATAGAACGGATCACTGTACCTAAATCTGATAGCAAACGTTTGGGACTTCCTTGACAGATAAGCTGCTGCCATGAGTCCTATTACACTGTCCTTACTGTTATAGTTGAAACAAGAGTTACATCATATTTTTCTTGAAAAAGGGCATCATCTACGGAAAGTTCGAGTAGGAACCTCTAAAGCCTAGAAGTCACGAGAGAGTATACATTCCTTTCTGGAAAGTATTTTTAAAATATATTGTTGACAATTTTTTTTATAAAATTGGGAAATACTATTTTTATGCAAAACAGCATTTCTGCCAAGTTTGTTACTTAGTTTTAAATTATGGTTGCGTAGCTTGTTTCTACTATTACAGATCAGTTGTTAATGCTCAATGCATATTTGTTGTCTCATATCATAAGCTATTTGTTCTTGAAGTTAATATGTTTTACGCTTGAGCACGATTTAACGTTCTTAAGCATATCATGATGAAAAGATTTTATTTTTAGGAAACTCTTTCAATTGAATGTGGAAGAAGTGTACTCGATTATTATTCAGTAAGGCATACATTTTTACTTGTTCCTTCTAACATAATATCAATATAACATAATATAATATGCTCCAAAACATAATATATTATGCTCGATCTGATCAACTTCATGTAATCTAATTGATGAGTAAATATTGAAAGGCTAATATTTAAGTAATTAAAATTGAATAGTTAAATATTCTAACTATATAATTTTCAGAGATTCTATGGTTTAGCACAATTTTGAACAGATTAAATTAATAGTGAAGTGTATGGCTTCATTAAATGAATATTTTAAACATATTCGGAAAAGTATTTTAAACATATTAAGTATCATTAAAAATATGAAGGTCGAAAAATTATCTAAAAATGTAGGGAATAATATTATTAATACCTTCATGTGATTTATATAAGCAATGAAAACTTAACGCTTTTGCTCAATTCTAAAGTACTCGTGCTCTTTTGCCACAGTTTTTAAAAACATCAGGTAGTGTTGCCACGAAGTTAAAACAACAGCATATAAAAATATAAAATTCAAATTAGAAAAATTTTTTATGCAATTTAAAAATAATTATGGATAATTTTCTAAAAACTTAAACTCGATACATTTAAGTATTTACTTCTAACAATGAACATAATAAAATAATTATATAGGTAATGCTCTTAATAAAAATTTTAAAATCTTTATTAAAAAATTATCCAAACACATTCACTAAAAGCAATGATTGTGAAACTCGCGGTTTCAAAAGGAGTAAATTCAGGAAGAAAAAATTATGCAAATGTTTATGAGTTTGAATACTATTCAAAGATTCTATAACTATGCATTAAAATCCATTATTTCGAAACTCTCTATGTTGTAATTAAAGAGAGTAGAATCAGGTAAATACAAGTATACAAACACCTATGAATTTTAAGGTTGTATTACGGGGACCGGAAAGTAATGTCGTTTCGGTGAAATAAATACTCGTTCGTCTTAAAAACCAATTCATTTTTTCGATCCATTTCGATTCATTTTCGATCCGGCATTGAAAGGTTCTTGCTAACTAGAGTGAATACATTATTGATTAACAATAAAATCTTGATTACAAATATCAAATGCACCAAAGTGACATTACTTTCCGGTCCCCTTAATACAAAGAATTTATAAATATATAATAAAAGAAATAATTGTGACATACCCTGTATAGTTATTTGACTGAAGTTAGAAAAAATTGTAAAACCCCCCATAACATTTAAGGTATCGTAGAACATTATCGTAGAACATATCGTAGAACAGTGTATCTACAATTCTACTGAATAGCTAATGCTAAATTTAGGAGATCAATTATAGGACGCGAGAGTTCAGTTAAAAAGACATTTGCAACAAAAATAAATAAATAAGAGATAAAATTAATAAATTATGGAAAAATAAATGAATGCAGTATAATTGTGTTAGTGATTGTTATCCACGACNGAAGTGCATTTGGCAACAAAAAGTCGACGAAAATTTAAACATCAAGAATGCTTAAGCAAAAATGCCAAGTGAACATCTTATGTAAATGTTAGGAATTAGCAGATTTCCCCAATTGGAAGCTTCTGCACAAAATAAAAAAGCAAGGAGTAGTCTTCTTTCCTTACTGTCAATGTAAAGCAAACTGAAAAGTTTTTTTCTTTTTTTTATAACCAACAGCTGACTGATTTTTAGTTTACTGCTACTAATGTTCAACTTCATATCCTTGTAATTTTGAACCCAATCCAGAAGACAAGGCAACTACTGGATCAAGTATTGGGAGAAATTTGCCTTCGTCGATGACATTTTGATGCAACTAACCCGCATTTGCGTAACAAGGAGAGGAAAATCTCAAAGACCTCAAACGGTCGAAGAACTCCCACGTCAGCACTGTGGCCCGTGCGAGACGGGTATGGAATTCGAATAAACCAGCCATCGCCGTGATCCGAACCCGATTCACCCCATTGGGAAGAGAGTGCTCTATTCCCTGAGCCACCTGTAAGTTTGTTTTATAACCGTCGTTGAACAGCCGGCACAATTTTATGGGTTCACGACTACTAATGTTCAACTGCGTAACCTTCTAATTTTGAACCCAATCCAGAGGACAAGGGAACTCCTGGATCGAGTATTGGGAGAAATTTGCCTTCGTGGAGGACTTTTTGATGGAGCTAACCCGCATTTGCGTTGCATGGAGAGGAAGTCCACGAGAACCTCCCGCGGTTAGCCTGACGGCATGGGGACTCTAACCCATGATCCGTCTACCACTGACGATATTTCACAACAGCACTGTAGGCGGTGCAAGCCGGATGCGGAATTCGTATCGACTGGGATTCGAACCAGGTTCGCCGCATTGGAAGGCGAACGCTCTATCCCCTGAGCCATCGCGGCTAAAAAAATATATAATAAAAAATAAAATTAAAAAAATTTTGTTTTGTGAAATTTATTAAATTGACATTTAGATCATTCTCCTCTGACTTTTAATTATATCTTTCCGTTAAGTGCAAACTTATTTATCCACGAACTCAAAAATATTAGTTTATTTCTCCCTAACTACATAAAGATTTACTTCAGGATTTCGATATTACCAACTAAGATTTTTTAAGCTGTTTTTCTTCCATAGCAAGTTATAAAGTATAATGTCAAATATTTGATGCATCTTAAACTTTTTAGCAAAACTACTTTTTAATATCATTCCCTCAACAGCCTGTTTTTATTTAATTATTTATTTATTTTATTTAGGTAACCTGTGCTAACCCTTTGCATGCTGACTGTGATCGTTTTAATAAAATAATGGTAATTTTTTTTCAGTTTTTGTCTTTTTAAAGGGGATTTTGATTTCCTGTCATAAAGTGATATGTATTTAAAGGGTGGCATTTTTTAGGCTAGTGTGGAATATATCAATTTATGAGTTTCTACAATATATCGGGAATAATGCATAATTAGAATAATTCTATTAAAAAATAGAAATATTTTCTTCAAATATCTTGAAGAGACATTAAAAGTTCAGACAATTGTACGTCTAAAGAACAAACAATAAACTTCAATGTGTAGTAAATTCTATAGTTGAATCCTGAAAATTAGTTCTATAGCCTACAACTTACAGTACAAATATTTTGCGGAAAAAAAAATTTTTTTATGAAGGTTTTAGTATGAGAAAAATATTTTTTTAAATCTGGAGTAAGTAAACGTTCGTTAAGATTCCAATTAAAGAGTCACAAAAAATTAAGAAAAATACAAAATAAAGCATAAAAAGGTATACAAAAAGTGAGAAGGGGAAATGTATGCAAATATTTTGAAAAATGATTAAAAAATATTTTCATAGCTTAGTTGCTAGATTATAAAATATGATATTGAATCGTAAAATAGAAAGCAGTAGGGTATATTTGTAAAGCGCACACACACTGAAGTTAAGAATCGTGTTTAATTTGTAAGAATAATAAAAATATACCAGACAAATACAAATAATTTGTCTATTATAATAATTATAATTATAATGAAAGGTTTTTTAAATTTCATTCGAGACCAGAACGTTTTGCCTTGTCATTAGGCGTGTTGCAACAAAAGATGTTACACTTGCCGCAATGTTTAGCAAAAACATAAATTTCAAAATAACGACAATTATAAGTAAGTCATTTTGCTAACTTCATAGAAGTGAAATATAATAGAGCGTACACATCATGATAATTTTTGCTCTCATAATGACTGTAAGGTGAATCGAGGGAAAGTATTTTCAACCTTCCGTTTCCCTTTGTTATTTCAATGGAAGAAACTCAATGCTACAATTGTAAAGCCAAATGTTTCAAAATAAGATTTATTTTTGGGCAGCATTTAGTTGCACAGAATTTTTTTAAAGAACTTTATGCGCATCACAGTAAGTTAATTTATAATATTTTATATATTATAATATATATANTATATATATATATATATATATATGTCTGGAATAGTGGAAACTGATAAACTGATAATAATAAGATAATAATAGAGTGAAATAAGTGACTTTCTATATGTAGCATAAAACGTGTCCAATTGAGGATTTGAAAATTTTGGGTTTTTCTGGACTTAATAATCAGTTACAATTTTTATTTTAGAACTGCCACTTGAATCTGGCGGATGAATATCATAGAAATGGCTATTGCTAAAGTTTGTCAAGATTGCTGATTTCAGTAATCAAAAACCATCATAAAGACGTATTGGCACTTATTCTTTTTCTGTTTTAAAACATTGATGGACAAAATAAAACTTATTTTAATGGTCAAATATTATGTTATGATACTTGTTATGACTACTTTTTTTTTAAAAAAAAATGTCAAAACAGTTGGTTTTGTGAATCTTTGACAGAAATTAGTGATAATTTATACTTGGAGATGCTTTACGAATCTTATTGTGTTATAAAACTTGACTTGAAACCCACGCGACTGTAAAGCGAATCCGGAGAAAGTATTTTCAACCCTCAGTTTCCCTTAGTTATTTCAACGGAAGAAACTCAATGATAAAATTTTAATGCCAGAAATCTTAAAATAATGTTGATTTTTCTGCCGCAATTTGTTGCACAGTAAAATTTGTTTAAAAAAAAAGGACTTTATAAGCTTCACAGAAAGTTAATTTATAAATTTTTGGAATTTATTTATTCTACAAATGAAATTTTAGAACGTTCTTCTTTTCCTTTAAACATCACAGTGATCCGAATTATTCCACTTTATTTATTCTAAAATCCTAATCTATACTTTTAAAGCTATCTACCATGTAAATGTAAATGTCTACTTGGTAGATATTTTATCATACTTTCAGTTTTGATACTAAAATGTAGAAACTCGAAGTCTTAGCGACATCGTTGTTTCTTTCATTCTTTGTTTATTTAGGTTATATTTTTTTATTCCCCGCTGATCAGTTGAAATTTATGTTCTGGGTTATTCTTAGGTTATAGGTTATAGGTAATAATGGTTAAAAGAAATAATTATAGCATTTTAATCCTTGATTTTTTTTTCTACGTTAATGCATGTAAATCAATATTTTGTGTCTGTCAAAAAATTTCGGCAAAGATCGGTTTAGGAATTTTTTTATTTTTTATTGCAATTGTTACGATATTTGTTTACGCTTTGACGAAACAAGGCATCACTTTTTAATACCCTAACGATCCTTGGCGTGGTTTCATAAGTGACGTAAATATCATGTCGGTTGTTCCCAGTTCCCAAATAAAAATGTTTGAAAGTTTCATAATAACTTTCTAAGACAGCTTTACCATTTTTCCTAAACACTCTTATAATTGTGGTTAACATAAGCATGATTATTATTTGACATTTTCAAACGCATTATACATGTTACCGGCAAAGTATGAAATCCGGCATTGTATAGAATGCGTAGGTATTGTATAGAATGCCTAAAATTAGCCGGCAAAGTATGAAATGATTTATATTTCACACATTGTCTAGGCCAAATAGAATAGGCCCTATAGAATGCCAAATGAGAAACCGACAAAGTATAAAATACATCTCCGATTCATCAAAATGTCATTCAAAAATGACAAATTCAAAACGTCATCCGATTTGATATTAATTTATTCGTGGATATAATTACATTTATTCGATATTTTAATACTTACTGACAATAGATTACATTTATTCGATATTTTAATACTTACTGACGATAGATTAGAAGAAACATCAGTGTTTGGAGTATCGTGCAAATATATACCGGGCATTGGCACTTGACCTTAAAAAAATATCAGTGTAGGGTATACTGAGCAAATGTATACCGGGGAGTGGCACTGAACCTTAAAAAACATCAGTGTAGGGTATACCGGGCAAAAGTATATCGAGCAGTGGCACTTGACCTTAAAAAAACATCAGTGTAGGATATACCGGGCAAATGTATACCGGGCAATGGCACTTGACCTTAAAGAAAATATCAGTGTAGGATATACAGGGCAAATGTATACCGGGCAGTGGCACTAGACCTAGTATACATTTCGGACATTTGCCAAATATCTAGTCATAATAGCTCCAGTTAAGTGCCATTGCCCGGCATACATTTGCCCGGTATATCTTGCACTTATGTTTTTTTAAAGTCAAGTGCCACTGTCCGGTATACATTTGCCCGGTAGACCCTACACTTATGCTTTTTAAAGACCAAGTGCCCGGTATACCCTACACTGATGTTTTTCTAAGGTCAAGTGCAATTGCCCGGTATGCATTTGCCCGATACTCCAAACACTGACGTTTCTTCTAATCTATCGTCAGTAAGTATTAAAATGTCGAATAAAGGTAATTATATCCACGAATAAATTAATATCCAATCGAAAGTAAAAAATATTTCGGACGTTCACCAAAGCGACTATGTGATTCCCAACATTCACAGGTGAAAGTCAACAACCACCGGTTTCGGTCATTCACAGTAACATGCACATCATTTACATAATAACCTCATCAGGACGCTAATCAAGTTACCACGNATTTTTTTCCTACCGATATCGAGATGTGCTTGAATATTTCTTTATAAAAAGAATAAAATTTTCTTTTTAATATCATGTTCATTATTTTTTTACGCTAAGCTTAAAGTTTCAACTTAATACGAGGGTTACTCTGAAATTTTTGAAAATCGTGCAGACGAGAATATACAAAATAAAAATAACGGTTTAATTTTAAAATACAAAGTATTTTAACATAGCAGCCGATTTTTAACTGACTTACTTCAACTTGCTTAGCGTAGAATAAATTTTAAACGGAAGAGAAATTGGAGTTGACGTGAGAACATTTTCGCGCTATAATTTTCTACGATTTTAAAGCAGGATTAAATCAAGAAGAATGCGTTCAATGGTTGCAAATAGCATTTGGTGATGAATCTCCAGCTCGTGCTATTCAGATGGTTTGAAGAAATTAGCAGAGGTCTCAATTTTCTTCAGGATGAAGAACACACAGGATGGCCGCCGTCAGCAGTAATCCCGGATAATGTGTCTGCCATACGAAAAATGTTAAAGGATGATAATCGCTGTACCTATCAAATTATACAGAAGGAACATAACATTGGATCCGCAGCTATACACAAAATTATTCATGAAGAATTATATATGAAAAAGGTAGTTTGCCCTTGGGTTCCCCATAATCTAACTGAGCACAAAAAAGAGGAGCGTGTCAGAATCAGTAAAGATACCCTTAAATTGCTAAGTGATGGTGGCCACCTCATCATTTCTAAAATTATACCGGGTGATGAAACGTACATACCGTTTTTTGACGTTCCAACGCGTCAAGAAAGCAAAGTATGGGTCTTTGAAGATGATCCCACGCCGACAATGCGCACTGAAAAAAGTGATGTATGCCGCTTTCTTCAGAAGTACGGGTTTGGTCAAAGCCATCTAGTTGGAAGAACAGAAGACAGTAACAGCAAACTGGTATACCACTAAATGCCTTCCGGAAATTCTACAAGAGGTGAATGTTTGGGGACTAATGCTTCACCATGACAATGCATCTTCACATACAGACGGATAAACTGTTGAGTTTCTTAAACAGAAACAAATTTAAGTGATAGAACTTCCGCCGTATTCACCTGATCTAGCCATGTGTGACATTTGGTTATTCTTTAATCTAAAAAAGAACTTGCGTGGACGTCGTTTTCATTCAGAAGAAGAGATTGATGTGGCTATAAATGCATTTTTTTCATCTATTCCAAGAAATGAATGGCTTGGGGCATTTAATCTGTGGAAAATTCGATTACAAATGTGCATTGATGATGGAGGAAACTACTTTGAACACACCTAAAATTTTGTAAGTGTAACTTTAAAAACCTTGCTGCATCTCAAAAATTTCAGAGTGACCCTCCTAATATTACTGGTGTCATTAACAAGAAATTTTTGAATTTAAGATGTACTGAATAGTTATAAGATTTATTAAAGCAGATTTTAATTTATTGAACGTTTAACATTGATGATTTTCTGCAAATTTTAGTCTAATATAAGACACTACTTATAATTACTTTCAATTCCATTTCAGCTTGTTCTCAGATATATCATAATAATAATAGTGAATAGAATTTACTGTATTATTTCATTTATTGATTTTCTTCTATATTCTTGCAAGCATATACTTTATATTCTATCATTAAAAAGACGTCAGATAGATGAGATCGTTTTCGAATATAATAGCTTGAGTTATTTTATCGTTTTTAATGTAATTGTAACTAATATTTGTTTCGAAATTTGACATCCTGACTAGACTTGTCGTAACTCTGCAATAATTGTGTCACCTTTTGCTTTTAAATTACAGTCATGGACATCATATGTGTATCTCCATGTCCTAAATAAAAATGTTTGAATGGTGTACATGGGTGTCAAAAGAAATAAGGACGCCAGCAAAAAAAAATTCAAGTTTTCATATATGTACTTGTATTGTACTTGTACGAGTTTTCATATATGTTCTTTTCAAATTCTGTTAACAAGAATTATTGTCTCCTAAAAATGTTTCGAGAAAGTTACTTCTTTCTTCCAGCAACAAAGCTAAGATCAAATGATAAAGCTAAGAGTAAGTTCATTTGCTTATATTCTTCTTAACTAATTAATTCTTAGTTAGTTTAATCATAAATATCGCTATTACTTGAAGAACTACTTAGAAGACAAAAACAAATCTTTTTTATTCATTTTTCTTGTCGGAATAAAACGTAGTTTTGTTATTTTAGAGTAAAATTAGACTTGACAAGTTAATGTTACCTAATTTCTCATAGTAATAAATGACACTGACGAACAATTTTTGTTTTTTGTTTTGTTTTTTTTCTGGAACATAAGATCTTTTTTTACAAATCTTAGATATTTTCACGTGGTTGATTTCAAATATACAAACAGTTTCTCCCTCCAAGTTTTAGTTTTTTAATGACATTTTTAGTCTATTTTTTGTCGAAATATACAAGTTAAAAAACGTTACACATAACAGGAAGTCTCATAAATATTGCGACAAACTTTTAAGGGAGTTGGAGCACATCATCAGGATCGAGTTTGCATAAGATCCCATCCCCGGAAAAGTCGTCATACCCCCCTGTGGGGAGAGGAGTAGTTATCGACCATGTAATCCTTCATGTATGAAAAGGTAACTCACCAGTAGAATCGAGTTTAAGTGTCTTATATGCTATTGAATTGGAGTTATATTTTCGTAGTGGTAGATGCACTACAGTACTCCCCCACCAGAATTATATCTGTGAGAGAATTTGATGACCGGATACCACTAGTTGATTCATTGCTGTTTTGTGAGAAGCCGGGAGAGCTGTATTAGTATCAC